GAACATGCAGTGTCTGGAACAGATATGGCAGGCTGAGGCACCCAGTGCTCACATGTGTAGGCTGGAGAATAATATTTATCTAACAAAAACTGTCTTTTTAAACACTAACCACATTTTGGCATATTTTCATTTTGAGTCATTTCATCAAAAAATTTGAAAAGTCCAGGGAAAGCATTCAATCTGCTCACAGTTTTTCACAGGAGGAGTGTATGTTTTCTCAGCAAACTCCTCTCCTACAACTATCTGGTTTCTTCAGATCTTTGGGGAGCCTCCCTGCACATAAAGTAGCTGAAGAATCTTTTTGCTGTACTACTCCCTGCCTACTCTGGTGTCCTATAAAGTGGGGGAAGTAAAAAGACAGCTCTTCACTCTTCTCCCACTACGCTGGAAGGAGACTACCACTGAAAAGTGGCCAGATGACACATTTTTTGTCAAGGCATGACGAGTCTGCCCTCCCTACTGTAGGAACCTCACTGCTCAGATAATCCAAACACAACCAACACCAGCAAGGCTTCAGCATGGTTTTGGACTCTGGGGATGCAAAGGATCATCAGACCCTGAGTGTGAGCATCTCCCCACTTCCTGCTGCCATTGGGACCTCAGCAGGACAGAGACAGTTCCCAGAGCAATGTGCGTGCTCCTGTGCCACATCCCTCGCTCCCGAGGTCTGCTGTATCTTTGGGGGAGAAGAGGCAGAGGAGCACCTCGAGAGGCATGAGAAAACTCACTGCTCCATGGCTGTGAGACACAACAGTAGCCAGGAGCTGAATGTCTCTGTTTTGTACAAGGGGGAGATACAGGCTTAGTATACACTCAATTTTCTTAAATTGGCTCTAACTTCTCCCACATAAATATGCCTCAAGGTTGAGCGCACGTTTAGCATTTACTTCCTTTTCCTAATGAAGTTCAGCAGCTGGCTTATCCTAAATAACAGTGACAAATCTTTAAAGATTTCCTTGTTCCAGAGGCGATTGCTCAACTGACGATCTGCCTCATTAATTAAGCCGCCTTCAGGGAGGGAGGAGAGCTGGAGGCAATTGAACAACTTAATGAGTTGATGCAAAGGGCAAGACAAGGCAGTGGCGTGAGTCCATCCTGGCACCCGGTACGGCCCCGAGCCCGCCCAAACAGCTGTGTCTCTGCCACTCGGAGCGCCTGCGTTCTCGGGAAAGAACTCAAACGGAGCTGTTTGGAGTGAGGAGCCAGCACAGGCAGATCAAATTTATTTTCCACTACTGGTTGCGCTGCCTTGCCACAGGCCAGCCTGTTTACAAGTCGGCTGCCTGGGGAACGGTGCGGAGCAAACACAGCTGGGCAGGCGCCCTCCGGTACAGGTTCTCCAGGATTGGTCTTGTTCCTCTGTGCCAAATCACTCATTACTAGCAATGATTCCCAGACTGCTCCTCTCAACAGTTAATAGCATCTGATGAGCCCACGGAGATACTTACATGCTCGGGTTTCTGTGTGTTGATCAGGCATCAGACAACTACAAAAGGTATAAAAAATCAGAATTCTCAATTGAGCTTGGTTTATGGTCAAGGATAGCTCTAGGTTTCTGCCTGGAGCTGGAAGTTAACTTTAGTTCAGAAAAGGGTTGTTAGAGTCTTATTTATGCTTCCATGATTTCCTAAAAGCGACTTAGCAGAGCTGAGTTATCTTCCTTGTCTAAATTCTCCAGCTGCTGCTGCTGCTTGGCTGCCTTCTCTGTATTTCCAAGGCCTTATGCTAAATTTAGTCAGGAAGGAGACATTTCTCCTCTGCATCTTCATTTTGAGGGCTACCCACTGACCGCTGTGGGCACGATGTGATCTAAAAATCCCATTTACTGCACAGCCAAGTGGGCTGGAGCTAGGAAGACTGATTTCTTCTCTCTACATAATAGAGCTCCTTTGTGTGAAGGGCATGTGCCCTGTGCTCTGAAGGACACTGCTGCAGGTTTCCAAAGACTTAGGACCACCCCTTTCTTTCTTATATATTCCCTTAGGAAAGCACTTCTTAAAAATTGTCTATCTTCAACTGCGTATGTGATTCTCAAGAGATCCTAAATAAGTCATGTCTCTGCCGCAGTGCGGTGCTCCCCAGGGACATCCAGCCTAAGACCTCTCTGGCCCTTCCACGGTTCTTCCAGTCCTGCCTGTCTGCTGCTGCCTTCCTTGCTCTGCCCAGCAGCAAGTCCTGGGAAAACACCTTGGTTTTAACCAGAGATGGAATAGAAATCATCAAAATATCAATCCTAGGAATTTATGGGACTAAAGTGTTTACATCTGAATACTCGTGAAGTAGAAATGCAAAAGTAATTTTCTGCTGGGTGTGAAGATTAGGAGAAATTTCTTTGTGCTTATTAGAGGAAAGCATCTCCTACTGTTTTCACATCTTTAATAATGGCAGGTTTCTCCAATTCTTTCGCAATAAAGGTGGAATTTTACCAAGTATCTGGTGATCACTCAAACCACAATAGTGAAATATGAGCCACTTGCTCATGTCACTGAAATCTCAGAAGGGAATTACAGCCTTTAGCAGGGTTCATTTGAGGTATACTACTTAAGGTAATAGGGCTGCACAATCTTATTAAGATTTATTTCCACCCCATTTAAACATGAGTTCAAAAGTCCAGCTGGAGCTGCACTGGCTTTATCTTTGGCTTATGGAAGAGACTGAAAAAAGAAGTAAACAGAAAACACAATCAATTGCTCAATCTGCTGGGCTGAGATACTGCAGTATATAGCAAACCCAGACTTGAGCCCACCAGCCTTGGAGGCTGAGGAAATCAGAACAAACTTTTGTTCTTTTTATATTGCATAGGCTTTTTTTTTTTTTTCCTCCCACTGAATTTAAGAGATATTGCATCATTCTGGGAAGGACAGAGTAAGATGAAACAATTGCCTCTGCTCTTTCCTCGTGGTAGTTCATCCTGCTCACTGGACTTGTTCCAGACCTGAATTTGTCCATGCCCATTTGGGAAGTGCATGGTTTAGGAAAAACACGTTTTCAAACATTTCGGCTTGTGTTGCAGATTCCCTACATAGTCTGAGAAAGCTTCCAGAGCATCGGGCTTGTCCTCCCCCAGATAATGATATGTGGTGACAGTAATCCTTCTATCACACTCTAAGTGCTTGTTCTTGCTTCTGTTGAAGTCATCCAGATTGTGGGTTATTTGGAAGCATTTATTTTCTCTGCTTCTTCAGTATAAAAGAAGCAGAGGATCTTATCACCTGCGAGTAGAGAATTTGCTAGATAGCAAAGGCAGAGGCCCACTAAATTTGCTTCAGTGTCTTTCTGATAAGTGGAAACAGATACACTCAGGTGCTTCAAATGCTAGAGAGAGGCTGCACCTACTGCAAGAGACTGGTGGTGATCGTGGCCTGAAGCCCAGAGGCTTTTGGAATCAGACAGCCTGTAATCCACAGGCCAAGCTCGGGCTGCCAGCATGATCCAGCTCCTCTTAGAGCAGGCAGCAGTGGGGCCATCCTAGGGCTGACCCTCACAGGAGGGTGGACTGCGGGGCTGCAGGGCCAGCACCAAGGGGGTTCCAGCAGGCAGATGAAGTGAATAGCAGAGGATATAACCTCAAGCACATCCTTGGCATTGTTTCCACACGGCAATGTACCTGAACCCTTCAGTCTGTGAACGGATTTTCTTGTTTGAGCACGACTCATTGCACTCTCACCCTTCTCAGATTTGGACCATCCTTTGTGGTTTACCAAGACCCAGGGTAAATGAACACATCCAGAGACCCCTGGAGATGCCAAAGCAGGCAGATGCATTTGGCTCTCTCCTACATTTTCTGTGAGAGGCTTGGCTGGGCGATAGATCCATGTCGTGATTTTAGGCCGATCTGGCAACTAAACTCCACACAGCCACTCTCTCCCGCCTGTAAAGTGGAGAGGAGAAAAATATAATGAGAGGACTGAGGGTCGAGACAAGAACAGAGGGAGCACCCACCAACCATGGTCCCAGGCAAAACAGACTCAGCTTTCTTAAAGCAAAACAATTTATTAACAGTTACTTAAAAGAATAAAGACAAATAAAACCAGTTACTTAAAAGGATAAAAAGAAAACAAGGCCAGATCTTCAAAACAACACCTCTCCACCCCCCTTGCCTTTTCTTCCCAGCTCTACCTCCTCCCCCCAGCAGCACAGGGGGACAGGGAATGGGGGAGTGCAGGTGATTTCATTCCATGTTGTTACTGCTGCTCCTTTCTTAAAGGAGAAGGAGTCCTTACACCATTTTCCCTTGCTCCAGTGGATCCCCTCCTCACGAGGAAAATCCACAAACTTCTCCAGCGAGAGTCCTACCCACAGGATGCAATCCTTCCCCATCAGATTGCTCTGGTGCGGGCTTTACCACAGTCTTGGATTCTTAGGAAGTTGTTGCCGCTCACTCCGGTGTGGGTCGTCACATAGACTCTAAATGCGTTTCTATACAGACTTTAAATGCGTCTCTACCTGTGCCCATGATTCACAATAGTCCTTGGGCTCAGGCATCTCTTCTCCGACGTGGGTTCTCCATGGGCTGCGAGTGGGTCTCTGCTCCACCAAGACCGCCTTTGGCTGGAGGGGGGCC